GCCTTAACCTAACCCTAAACCTAATCCTAAGCCTTAACCTAACCCTAAACCTAATCCTTATCTTAACTTGAATCGGCTTGCTTAAAGCGCCCTTCTTTCTCCACGCTCGCTGTTGTCGCCCTGTTGATGACATCAGCGACACGGTTTAATCGGGCGCGCTTTAGTCGAGCGCGGTTTTGTCGTGCCACGGCTTCTTTCATCTGGCGGGTATAGAGGTAACAATGAGCACTTTCCCACCAGAGTTGTCACAGGTAGATACCAGCAACTTTGCCAAAGGGCAGGTGGGTTGAATTTGGCCAATTGGAAAATTCCCCCTTCACCCCGGACATGAATAAGAGCTTCATCCCACGGTATCCCTTATTCTTATTTAGAATGGGTCTGCCAAGGAGAAAAGGGAATTAAAGCATTGGACTGGAGTGATCATACTGAGTGGTCCATGACCTATGTAAGACATCATGTAAGACACACGGATTCTTAGTGGACACATAAGTAGACTTACTCCAGGATGAACAGACTTGTAGTCTTCAATAGAAATAAAGAAGACATTAAGGATAATTTCAGGGATCCGGTGGCTCAGTGGCTAAGATGCTGAGCTTGTTGATCAGAAGGGTTGATAGTTCGGCGGTTTGAATCCCTAGTGCTGTGTAATGGAGTGAGCTCCTGTTACTTCTCCCAGCTTCTCCCAACCTAGCAGTTCAAAAGCACGTACAAAATGCAAGTAGAAAAATAGGAACCATCTTTGGTAACAGTGTTCCATGCGCCTTCGGCGTTGAGTCATGCCGGCCACGGAGACGTCTTCGTACAGCCCTGGCTCTTTGGCTTTGAAACGGAGATGAGCATCGCCCCCTAGAGTCAGGAACTAATAGTGCATATGTGTGAAGGAAACCTTTACCTTTAAGGATAATCATTTTGCTAACACCACCTTCCCATTTTGTTTGGGCTTTAAATTAAATGGAATAAATTCTACCCTCACATAAAACCCATTGATTTATAATTTTTGAAATACCAATCCACAAAAACCAGGCATAACACCCTAACTGATGTTTAGATTTCGAAGGAGATACTTAACACGAATTGCCTTTTGCTTCCTCAGAACCAGCTGACAGCCCTTTGTGGAAAAGCAACAGTTAAATCAACTTGAAGAAATGGATGGCAACTTTCCTCGTATCTTCTTTCGTGTAAAGAAACTCCTTGATATAGTTAAAGCAGCAGGCAATTGGTTTTAAGGATTTATTGCATATTAAATTTTGTATATTTCTCAACTGGAAACACTTGACTTGACATTTGAAGCAAGCGTTCTTATTGGGAGACTGAATGTAAAATGGTTATTTGCATTCATTTCCCTAGATCTGAATTTATGCCTGTATGAATACATGAAAGAGAAGTGAATTTAGTTGAACGTCTATTGAAACTGATCTTCACTGAAGGATACACTTTGAATTTCTGATTTGGGTTTAGTTTTGGTCACCTTGATCAGGTTATACAATTGCCTGATTTTTGACATACATACAAAGATTGATGAAGCCCCAAAGATTTGTATTTTTTAAGACTTTTGAGAACAGCTCTTAATTCAGGAAAATCCCAATATAATCTTCCCATCAAGAGGATTAACTGTCATAAATATAGATGTGCCTGCATGTACCAACTGTATCACGGTACTATTATATCCAGAGCCTTAGCTTGCTTTTAAAAGTTGGCTAGAGATATGACATAGCCCTTGAATTACTATCTTTTGTTTAGTGACCTAATGACCAATTAATAGAAATATGTCACATGGGATATATACCTTGTAAACATAAATTATCCTCCCGACATGCTACATACATCTGTGTGATGGGGGTGGAAATATTGTAGATGCTCACACATTGCTCTGAGAACTTAAGACAAAATTAATGTAGATTAAAATGTGAAAAATTACTCTTGATAGAATACTTGTAATTTACTACATTGCTAAGTCTCTGTGGCTTTTGAGGTTGACTTTGTGTTCATGACTAGGTAATTAGAAGCATCAAAGGACAGAATCTTTTGTGCAACTTCAGCTCACATCCTAAGGGGAGGGTGGAGCGGTAGAAGGGAGTAGTGCTCAGCAGTTATGTTCACTCTTTGAATTACCTCTCAAACCTCTTTATGTTCCGGTTATAAAGCAGTAACTGCAAATAATTGAGAGTTTATGGTTGACCTCCACGAATCTTCCAAGAATTTTCTTTACATTGTAGAAAAATTGAATAAGCATTTTATGCTTCAAGACTTTAAAGTTGACCTCATGCAGTTGGGTCTTTAATTATGCAAGTCACACACAGCTTTGCAAGGGTTAAATGAAAGTTTGCACTGGGGTATTGCCTTCCTCTTAAAAGACTTCTTAAAAGCTATGCAAGAGCCGAGTTGTCCTGGCTTAAGTGTACTAACACAATCACCTCCTGCCCTGCCAAGTTGCATGAAATGTTAGGATATCGACCCACAATCTTTTCTCTCTTCTCTGCAAAACCTGTTCACTTTTAAGAGGAATTTGATTTGAGCTTAGCCGAATAAAGGCTAGATTGTTTTACCCCGAGGAAGAAGTAATTCCACATTTAAGAACAAGATAACGGTGTCTCCCCTCCACCCCTGGTTTGGAAACTTAAAAAAAACGAAAATCATGCTCCTTCAAATATTCAAATAAATGAACAGGTTTCAGCCTTGTATGCAAATTTTGATGGCAATCTTCTATCCAATGAGATGTTGAAGACTGTTCTCCTGTCAATCCAAAACTCTAATCACATGCAAGTTCCTACAGGAATTTATTTCAATGTGGCTTTACAACTGCGTTGGGCTGTATATTGGATTACGTAAGGTGAACTCAGATGTTGAGAAGCAAAGCTAAAATGATATGTCTTTTTAGTGGATTTTCTTAACATTGGAGGGACGCGGTGGCTCAGTGGCTAAGACGCTGAGCTTGTCGATCAGAAAGGTTGGCGGTTAGAATCCCTAGCGCTGCATAATGGAGCAATCTCCCGTTACATGTCCCAGCTTCACCAACCTGGCAGTTTGAGAGCATGTAAAAATGCAAGTAGAAAAATAGGAACTGCCTTTGGCGGGAAGGTAACAGCATTCTGTGCGCCTTCGGTGTTTAATCATGCTGGCCACGTGACCACCGAGACGTCTTCGGACAGCGCTGGCTCTTTGGCTTTGAAACAGAGATGAGCACCGCCCCCTAGAGTGGGGAATGATTAGCACATATACGCGAGGGGAACATTTACCTTACTTAACATAGGTGAAGCCTATTCCAGCTACATCTGTTACCTGTTCTTCCATCAAAAATAATGCCCCTACTATGTCTTAAAAGTGTTGATATTTAGTTCAACAGGATTGGGGTCGTGGTGCTACAGGCTTGGCCTGACACACCGGAGGCCCATTTGCGTCCTTAAAGCCAATTTCCAACACTGGGAGTGATTTGCTTCAAAACTCCCAAGGTTTAATTTCAGCTGTAGAATTGATGAGAAAGAAAACCGTTACAAAGAGTATCATCATACACCAATGGTTTTTATTAAGTTTCAGAAACCTTTTTTTTTTTTCACAAGATGGTAAAAAAAAAAAACTCTTACAACCACTTTTTTTTTGTTTTTGTTTTTAAATCTTCCATGGTTTTTCCCCATCAGGTTCTATTCCCGTGCGCCGAAACCCAATTTACTTACCATGCATCTAAAAGTGATAGATACAGGCTATGAATTTCTTTTATTCTATTTGTAGCAGCTTATGCAGATGCAGCCAAATAACCAAGCCTCGGGACAAAAAATTTTTACACAAAACTTTACAATGTAGAATTTTGAATTTAAAATAGAGGAAACTTAAAATCTACACAAAAAACTGGTAAAAATCAAGCACAAGTACAAGGACTGGAACTTAAATCCAGATGAACAGGAGAAGAGTCTCGCCTTCCTTTCAAGTGCCTTTATTCTGCTACAGAAACGGTCAGTCGAGAGGGGGGGAAAAAAAAAGATGTAAGCTTTGTGTGTGTGTGTCTGTGTGCGGTTAGTTTAAATTATACACTTCTGTAGATACTATGGACCAATTTTTAAAAGTTACACATACAGCAACACACATCCGTTGCGCTCATGTGCATTGTTTAGACAATCCAACTGTGTTGCTGAGAACAAGTCAGGCAAAATTTTGAAGAGAGAAAAAAATCCGTGTGTAACTTCCCTTACCCCGCCCTGGACAGAATTTTTTTTTATTTTTTATTTACTGGTGGGCACACTGCACCCCCGGTCCATGATGGCCACTTTCCTCATCGGAACTATCATTGTACGCCTCGCGCCTCTGCCCACCGCTTGACCCACGAGTGGTGTCAAATTCTTGAAGGTCTACTTCTTCTGCTTCGCTAATTATGTTGGGAACCTCTGGTCTGGAGGGCAGGAGGTCTTCAAGTTCCTAAAAGTAAAATATCGTGAATTTGTTTGAATAGGTTATTTGGGCCAAGCGTGATTTTAAGACACTCAAAGGAATTTGTCTCCGGCGCAGCAGCTCTCAGATGTACATGCAAAGCAACAGAATAATGGTAATTATAATAATACCAATGAGAGGGAGGAGGAAGAGGAAGAGAGGAGTAGGGGAGAGGCGTACTTCAAGACATGGGGAAGATTTTAGGATTGATTAGAGAAAGAAATCTAGAAAAGAAAGCAAGAGAGAGAGATAGAACCCAGATGAGACACTATTAAATGGAAAAGGGGGAAAATAGAAAAGAAAGTATCAATGTATAAGTATACGTTCAAGAATGATATAGAGAAAAGAAATAGGATATGATAGTGAAGAAAAAGGAATAGGAAAGGATAAGCGTAAAATTATGATAGGGTTTGCGGGAATACCGTCCCGAAAATACACCAGATGAGAGTTGAAAAGAGATAACCACAACAGAAAAGGAAAGGAAGAGAGAAGGAGAGAGGGAAGGGGACAGAAGGAAGGAAGAGGAAAGGAGAGGAAGGGATAGAAAGAGGGTAGGAGGGGGAAGAGGAAGACAGGAGTAGGGGAGAGGCAAGGGAAGAAGGAAAGGGAAAGGAGGGGAGGAAAGAAGAAAGTAGAGAAGGGAGGGAGGGTGAAAAGAAAAGGGAAAAAAATAGGCTGCTGATAAGACAAATAGCAATAGCAATAGCAGTGGACTTATATACCGCTTCATAGGGCTTTCAGCCCTCTCTAAGCGGTTTACAGAGAGTCAGCATATTGCCCCCAACAANTCCTTCCTTCCTTCCTTCCTTCCTTCCTTCCTTCCTTCCTTCCTTTCTTGCAGGTATTTAAAACTAAGTCACTGACTTCTACCATCACAGATAAAAAAGGGATTCTCTGCAGGTAAGAGGAAGTCAATGTTTTTCAAGTCATCCTGTACTTAAAAATCAATGTGATTTGCCCACTGAGGTGGATTGATGAAAAGATGACACGAGATAGCTGAGACTCTTGACAATATTCTAGAGGACAGAACGAGAGCTTAGCATTATTGGATGTCCAAAATGGAGGGGGGGGGTTAAGGGAGAAAATCTCAGTTATGAACCGGTAAGGAGTGAGCCAAGATGGACTTTTCTGCAGAGGAATCAAAATATGGAAAAGAGACTGGTGGACAGATAATCAGAATTTGCTCTGGACTGGAATATTTCCTTGTAGCACTTGTCTGCCTTAATGTGTATCATAAGCAACTTCAGGCCCAGGCTGAGTCTTTTTTTTTATTTTAGCGGAGAAGACCTTTTCAGTATCGAGCTGATGGAATTTAATTTAACTGGAATGGTCTTAAACCGTAGAAGCCTCGGGGTCTTCTTTTGCAAAAGCAAATGGCTTGGTGAAGAAGTTACGGGTTGCTTGCAGGAATCCTTTGGGGTTTCAAGCAAAGAAAGCCAGATACTGTTTCTAGGCAGATTCCTTCCCGCCCCAAAACCTTTAGGTCTTAATCAATGCATCCTAATTGTATTTGCAGAAAATAGGAGCAATCGTAGGAAGAAATATTGTGTGTGTATCATCGTTTTCTTTTCATGACCCCATAATCCCTTGCGGGGTGGGCAACTGAATGGAGCTGTGCATTTACTGGCCAGATGCCCTTCTTGTCACCGATGCAGAGTTTTGTTCAGCTGATCTATTCTCATTGTGCCCAGAGAGAGAAATCCCTGCCTCTACCTGGGATCGAACTCACAGCCTTCTGATTGTGAGGCGAGGGCTCCCCCTCTAGGCCACTGCACCACTCCAATATTGTGTCTCTTCCATCAGGTCTGCATCTGCCTGCTCCACTCCAAACATGAGACGCATCGATCGATCGGCTTCTCTGCGCGAGCCACCGAGATCTACTCCCAGGTTCACCAGCTCTAAAAGGTCAATATTGCTGGTTTGTTTTCTATTTAAAGGATAGCTCCTTGACAACTTTTAAAGCATGAATTGGACATCTACAGAGAGGCTGGTTGTCTGGCTATTATATTTCCTCCAGATTTGAAGGGTTCTCCACCTATCCTTACATCAGCCCAAAGTGACCGCAGCTTGAAACTGATGGTTTCCATCGCTGATTTCCTACCATGCTTGTCTTCCTTCTGTTTCAAGTCGTTGCAGCACCCCAACCTCTCTCCAAAAATGTTGAGCGTAATGGAATTGCCCACATCTGGATGCTGTCTTGGGATGCTGTCAAAATAGGGTGCGTGCGCACTAGTTTAGCTAAGGGTGAGACTTGTGAGCCCATTTCACTCACGGGTGGTAGAGAAGATGACGGCAACGTCGTCCGGAAGACAGCAGAAACTAAGCGATTGTTGGAGCATGTATGTGCTGTTGTCAGGTGCAAGAAGGGGAAACACCCCACGTCTTCTGAACCATCTCTGATCCATCTCTCCATCTGCAGGTCTCTGGGGGATCCTTGGGGGTATTCAGATGACCTTGCCTGCTCTGGCACTTGGCGGGGGGACAAATGATCAGATCGCAGTGCCCTGACAGCTCGGAAATAGAGGAACAAAGACATGGCTGCTGTCAGGGTTCCAAATAGCATCCAAAAGTAAATCAGAGTCCGAGGCAAAGCATTGCTCAAAGTTCCAATTTATTAAGAGAGCCATGTTGGCACATCTGGGGAAACCTGAATCTGAAAGCTTCCCGGTTTTCCCCACCCAGTTGAAAGATCAAGATCTTGCTCCCATACTNCACAATTTTTTTTAAAACAATATAGTTATGTGGTACTAACTACAGGTAGTCCTTGACTTACGACCACAATTGAGCCCAATGTTTCTGTTGCTAAGCGGAACATTTGTTAAGTGAGTTTTGCTCCATTTTATGACATTTTGTTAAGTGAATCGCTGCAGTGATTCACTTAGTAACAGGGTGAAGTGAATGTGGCTTCCCCATTGACTTTGCTAGTCAGAAGGCCGCAAAGGGGGATCACACGACCTCTGGACACCGCCACCGTCATAAATATGAGTCAGTTGCCAAGTGCCTGAATTCTGATCATGTGACCTTGGGACGCTGCAAGTGAAAAACAATCACAAGTCACTTTTTTCCAGTGTCGTCGTAACTTTGAACGATCACTAAATGAACTGTTGTAAATCAAGGACTCCCTGCATTTAATTTCACTCTTCTTCCTCACCCTCTCTCTGCTGTTTCCCTCTTTTAAGCAGAACAATGAGGATTTTTGCGCTGTGTAGATTTACTTCTATGATATGCCTTATTTTTCCCACTGCTTTACCCCAAAATAGTTATCAAGGTAGTCCAGAGCAAGAAACCAACACCAGGAACGCTACTTTTATTGTAAGGTGAGAGTAACAGAATATTGTTAAGACTGAAAGGGCTGCCCCTTCTTTCTGTTTCAGGGACGTAGGGAGGGTCAGTTCTGAGATGCTTTCTCAAATTACATTTCTGGTTTAGGCTCAGATGTTGTTTATTAGGCTGTTGTCTAGACCACAGCCCTTCCTCTTGTCTCTCAAGGTTATTCTCACAGTCCATTAGAAATAACATGGTTATTAGCAGGCTGCTTAAAGCCATCAGGTCAGGATGACACAGGAAGAATTGTGAAGACAGCGCAACCAAAAGTTGAAGCAGGGTGGATTTGGTTTAGATCACGATTAAAATCACAATTTAAAATCTCAAGGAAAAAGGCTTGGTTTAAATCAGCTCGATTTTAATCATAATTTTTAAAGATCAACTGCCATCTCTGTCCCGCAGTGGCTTCTCCTAGGACCTGCTATTGACACAACGACAGTACCAATACAGTAGAATCTACAGCCTCCTCATGCTACACAACTAAACTCCATTTCACGCTGAATAAACTAAATTATTGATGTATCTTAAATAGAAACATATCTTTAGACAGATTTTTACTCCAAAAGCATTTTATTAGAATATTTTTTTTAAAAAAAAAA